AGCTAAAGGAGTTCATCACCACCAAACCAGTATTATATGAAATGCTGAAAGGTATCCTTTAAGAAGAGGAAGAGGAAGAAAAAGGTAAAGATACAAATTATGAACAACAAATATGCATCTATCAACAAGTGAATCTAAGAATCAAGTGAATAAATAATCTTATGAACAGAATGAACTGGTGATTATAATAGAATCAGGGACATAGAAAGGGAATGGACTGACTATTCTTGGGGGGGAAAGGGGTGTGAAGGATGGGGGAAGAGACTGACAAAAATTGTACACCTAAGGATGAGGACAGTGGGTGGGGAGTGAGGGCGGAGGGTGGGGTGGGAACTGGGTGGAGGGGAGTTATGGGGGAAAAAAAGAGGAACAAATGTAATAATATGAACAATAAAGATTTAATTAAAAAATGTAATTGTTGAAACATTTAAATAAAATAAAATAGGATTGAATGTGTCCCTCATAGACAGATGAAACCCATAATACTTCATTTGTGTGACTCGTGTCCTTACATTTTCTCAAGTATCATTGTCGATTACAGTGTCATCTCTGAGTCTTAATGCAATATCTGTTCCCCAGCCTTTTTCACCATGTGGAAAAAGAACAGGATATGTCATTGCATCTAATGTAGGAAACAGGATATTGATTTGTTTCATTTTAGTGGCATTTGGATTATTGGGATCTGGTTTACAATGAATAAGCAAGTCCCTTTCAAAAGGAGGTTTTCCATCTTTGTTTCTGAATATGAGAGTAACCTTGGTTACACAGGGAGAATTAAATCTACCTGGGTCACTGCTACGATCATTTTTAATTGCCATTATTACTTCCGTGAGAGCAATACCTTTTGCTGTTGCTTTAGATTGGATTTCCTTTTTTACCTCATGTAGCATTTTGTACGATTTTGTTAATACTTCATACATGAGGTTGTTGATGTTGATCATGAGTCTTTCTGAGCAGCCCTGGTTTTCTGGCATTGCTAATCTTTTACTTGTCGCTTTGGCCATACCTACAATATAGAGTTGAGCAAACTTCCAAGAAACACCATCCGAAGGATGTGAAGTTCCAGTATGGTGATAAACTTGCCCGTGTATTCTAAAACAGTATGGACCACATCCTGATGGTGATGCAATATTTGCACCCATGGAAGCAAAAGCAAAAGAACTATTTGTGGAATGAATATTTTCCCTGAAATTTTCCCTGTCAGAATCTTTGTCATTAATTTTTTAAAAATATGCCAGGTATTCTGGAAAATGTATATCATTTGGACAAACATTACCTTTGTTATAACATTGAGTAAATTTCCCATCAGATGGTTTTATCAGAGAAATTTAGTGATAGGAAAAATTGACATCTAATAGTCATTCCACCAAAACTATGTTCGAGAATTGCATCCTCATGTACTCCATTTTTGCTGAGAAGGAAGTTCTTACCAGTATAGGTAGTACTTGTTGATGACTATTCTTTAGACATATTCTGTTGTCCATGTAGCCTTCTATCAACTTCAGAGGCACATTACCCTTCAGACATTTTCTGTTGATGAGCCTGGCTTCTTTTGGCTGCAGAGCTACATTGTGTCAATAGTTGCTCTTTAGACATATTCCCACCTCCCTGCTGTCAGGGTCTGGGATGCAGGTGAATGAGAGTCTTTGCTGTCAGGCTGTTGAGAGCTGTCTGACAAAAGGCTGATTCTGGCTGAGTCTATGAGGGATGAGACTCCCTCCTTCCTGCTGTCAGAGTCTGGGCCGGCACCCAGGGGGTACAGCGTCAAGTCCACCTGCACCAGGAGACCCAGAGTCAAGTCCCTACCCACTTGCGTGTGCCTCAAAATCCTGTGAGATCTAGACTTGCCCGCGCCCATGCAGACAGATGCAGCATTATCTGCATGGAGACACGGGATCCCGCACAAAGCCACCCCATGGTGCACGGGGCTGAGGAAAACCTGGTGGAAGCTGCGCAGAGCAGCAGCTAGGACCCACCCCCCAGCGGGGCTGGAGGAACTCCATTGGCAGGTGCAGAGTGGCTGCCAGGCCTCCCTCCACTGGGCCATGGGAGCTGCCAGTGGCAAGTGCACCAAATAGCCAGCCCCACCCCCACTGAGCACTCACCATCTTGTGATGGCATTATGGTGTGAAGGTCAATTTGCATATTATCTCTTTATTATATAAGATTATTAGGCTTAATAAAAGCAGTATATAAGAAAGTAGAAAGCTGGAGAGATGATACATTCACACGCACGTGCGCGCGCACACACACACACACACACAATTTTTCAAATTCCCAAGGATTTTAATAATGATAAAATGATTGATTGGGCAAAAAATTTCAATAAGTTACACAAAAATAAATCATGGATTTCAGTGATCTTAACATGATTCATAGTATGATACTTAGTAGGGCACATTAATTTGTAGTGCTTTACAGAACTATTCTGCCTAATCTATATCATTGCTATTACTATCTACATGGGATTCTCGTGAGTTAAGCTATATAATATGGATTTGGGACATAATTATATGATCCTATAAAAGAGTAATATATAAATTAACCATCACTCCATCCCAAGGATGGCAGTGGCCACAGAGCTGGAGCGAACAGGAGGCTTAGGCTGCCCCCGGTGATGGAGGAAGCCAAGCTTCCCACCTGCCCTGCTGGCCCTGAGCTCCACTCAAGGCTACAAAGTTTCAAATATAGAAGATAAATAAATCCCAGATACCTGCTTCCAGGCCACGTGGCCTCTGCTCAAGGAGGGGGTTGGGGACCTGGGTTGCCAGCGGGCAACTCAGGCTTCGAGTGGGACCAAGGCAACAAAGTTTCAATTATAGAAGTTAAATAAATCCCAGATACCTGCTTCCAGCCAGGCGTGGCCAGCTGGAAAACGGCCCTCAGCCCCTCACCCAGGCTGGCCAGGCACCATGGCGGAACCCCCACCCTGATCCGGGACACCCTTCAGGGCAAACCAGCAGGCCACCACCCATGTACCAGGTCTCTATCCTATATAAAAAAGGGTAATATGCAAACTGACCTTAACAGCAGAAAGACTGGGAATGACTGGTCACTATGAAACACACTGACCACCAGGGGTCAGATGCTCAATGCAGGAGCAGCCCTCTGGTGGTCAGTGTGCTCCCACAGGGGGAGCTCTGCCCATCCACAAACCAGGCTGATGGCTGCCAGCACAGCGGTGGTGGCGGAAGCCTCTTCCGCCTCCTCAGCAGCGCTAAGGATGTCTGACTGCAGCTTAGGCCTGCTCCCCGCTGGCAAGTGGACATCCCCTGAGGGCTCCTGGGCTGCCAGAGGGATGTCTGACTGCCAGCTTAGGCCCGATCTCCCCAGGGAGCAGGCCCAAGCCAGCAGATGGACATCCCCTGAGGTGTCCCAGAATGCGAGTGGGCACAGGCCAGGCTGAGGAGCCACCTCCCCTGCCCCGAGTGCACAAATTTTTGTGCATCGGGTCTCTATTATGTAATATAGCCAAAAGATACTGCTGTTAATATTTATTTAAAAATGTCAAGGTGTTTCCATTTAGATCCAAACAAAGAAAAACAGGTGGGTGCTCTGGAATAATTTCTTAAAAACTTATCATCCAACTAGTTACCTAAAAACACACTTTTTCATACTGAGGTGAGTACACATGAATGACCCTAGCTATTACAGTAGGGAGCATTGAATTCCATTCATATTTTCTTGATTCTCTCATGCCCATACTACTCGACTGTGAGTCTCACAATTTCTCTCTCCCTCGTTGCACTCCCTTTTTGTATTTTCTTACCACCTCCTTCAATACAGCAGCTTTTTGTAAGATTTCTGTGAGTATGAAAATGAGCTTTTATGGATTATGTATGGTCCAAATCTTTTTGAGTTGAATATTGACCTGGATTAAAATACTCAAAGGCAGAAATGTGCCTCCTATATTTTCTTTCTCAAACCTTTATATCTTCCTGAATGGTGGAAGATTTTAGATTCAGAAAAAATACAAGAAAAAAACACAAGAAGGGCAGTTTAATGCAGCTATAGGATTAATGATGTTGAAAATCACTTGTACAGATACTATACAAACCACTAAATCTGTACCTCAATATTTAAGTGCCTTCATTAGTTTATTAAAATCCCTATATGCTTTCTTAACATTTTTGCAGAAAGGTAATTGTGATAAATTATGAAAAGTAACAGTGTAACATTATAAAATTAAATATTTTTATGCAATTCTGATATGTATGCCATCAAATGAGTACCTACATCTGCAGTCCCACAGTCACATGTTTCTCCATCTTCCACTTTTTTATTACCACAAACTCCAGCTTTATATGATGGATCTAAACGTGGATGATTTCGAAGACATTGGGATTTTGGCTTTGAAATAAAATGTGCAAAATCTTCCATGCTGCAGTTACTAAAGATCTTCACACCACTGGAATGACTAAAAATACATTAAACTTCAAATTTTTATACACGCATTGTATCAATCAACTGCCTACCCTGGGAATAAAGCTATTTAACATTCCACCACAAAAAAATACTCAATTTTGTTAGTGTCAACTGTGCAAAAACATACAGTAAATATTTTTAGTCGAAATAAATAATCAATAAAATTTTGTTGGTTCTTATATTAGTTATTTGTGACACTGTTTTCTCTTGCAGCTCCTACCTAACAGAGTGGTCCATCTCTATTTCATTTTTGCTTCCTTTTCTTTTCATGAATTCTAAATATTGTAATACCCTTTTATTGACAAAGGAGATTGGGCTTCTCCACTTCTTTATATTTACTCATGGACAATCTTTTCAGTTCTAGGTTTTAAATAACACCAGAACCTAACAACTCAGATATTTTTTTCCTAACTCCAACTAATCACCTAAACTCCAGAGTCCCATACCCAATTCTTTATTCAGTATTTACATAGAGATACCTTTTCTAAGCACACATCTAGTATACCACTCCCTTACTACTCTTTGTTCCCTTAGTGACATTGATTTTTCTTAAAAATATTTATAAAAAATGGGAATATTAATTATTTATTGATTGGTTATCTTGTCCTGCCCTTTTATTTTAACTCTAGAGAAAAGGCATTTCTTTCTTAAAAAAATATATTTTTACTGATTTTAGAGAGAGGAAGGCAGAGGATAGAGAGGTAGAAACCTCAATGAGAGAGAAACATACTCAATAGGTTGCTTCCTGCATGCCCCATACTGGAGATCCAGTCCGCAAACTGGGCTTGTGTCCTAACCAGGAATCAAACCATGACCTGGTTCATGGGCTGATGCTCAAGTACTCAGTTATGCTGGCCGGGTGGGAGAATGCATTTTCGATTTTTTTGTTTACTAGCACAAAGCTAAGAACTCAGTAGTCAATAAAATAAATAAATGAATGAGTACATGGTTAAAACTGTTGTATAGTAGACTTTTGGTTGCAGTTTCACTATACTTTTAATTATTCTGAAAATATTAACAAGTAAAGAGATTGTAATCATTGAGGTCTGTAATTTGATGACAGATATAGATAGTTATTGGTTTTTGAAGCTATAGACTCAAACCCTAGTCATTCAGATTATTTCAGGAACATGTTATTTCCATAAGGATGACAAATTAGGGAGTTTTGAACTCCCTAATTTGATATTTTTGTTATTGTCACATCCTGGTTGAACATACCCTTCAGTTATATTAACCATAACGAATGAAGTTATTATTACATTGCCAACAATTCAGATGAATTTTATCTAAGTACCAGAAACCAAAAGGAGAGAAAGCAATAGAAATTTAATATTACTGAGAACCGGGCAAGGCAAGGTGTGTTTGCTATGTGTGAACTGGTCCTTAAGGTATATATTTTTTGGCGATTTAATTTTTCATTAGAAAGAAAATATTAATAATAATTATATCAAATTGGAGAATTTCTTTTCAGCTTGAATCTTTGAACAGATTTTCTGGATATTCTTATCCCCCATTCTCTCATATTTTCTTGATAACAGAACCTCTGATATTCAGTTCAGTACATAATTCCTTTGCATGAATGACTACATCTTTTAGCTTCTTGAAAAGTTAGGAATGGGCTGACTAAAGGTTAAGTAACTGGTTTAAAATGAAGCTATAAGTCTAAATTCTGGGAAGTAATGATGACAACCATGCTTCTAAGTGACCCTTTATTCTATTGGTGACTATAAACTTGGTTAACTTATGTTGTAGTTAAAGCGTGCATTATGAGTTATGGCATTATCTTGGAAATGAAAGCCACTGTGCAGAAATCAATGTGAAATGTCACACATTTAAGCATGTTTTTATTCCAACTAACATACTGAGAGGACATGTTCTTAAAACAAGACAGCTTTTTTCTTTCTTTAGCAGCCAGTTTTAGGGCACCCCCATTTGAGTGTTGGTGTGAAGTGACAGAAATATTGATGCAATAGGTAGACATGCCATAGGGATTTATCTAGAATCCCTGTTTGTGTTATTGACTTGCACTATCTGGATTCTTTTAGCTTGTTCCAAAATAGACTCTTTTGGTCATCAGGTAGATTAATATGCCCACTTGATATTATAATTCTGTGGATCTGAATATACACAAATTATGATGAAAATATTCAACTTCAGTAACATAGTAACTTAGTGTTTCCTACATGCATGCTAATCTCTAAAAGGGTCCAGTGGCCTACCAGGAGCTGAAACAGTACTCTGGGGGTCTGCACTACAAATATTTGATACTTGTCAGAGATTCCACATAAAACCTAATGTACCAGGAATATCTTTAGTTTTTATTGTACCTTAATGGACATACATACCAAAGAACAACACAATGCCCTCTCTGTACATCATCTCCTGCCAAAAGTATCCTTGTTGCTGTAAGATCACTTACTAATCCAGTTCAACAATCATTTCATAATAGTTTACTATAGCCACTTCTGGGATAACTATTTTTATATGGGTTCCTCCCAAATCAGAGCCTGAGATAACAAGTTCAGTGCAAGTACCTCTAGGAAATGATTGTGGAAGCAGGAGTGAGGGGATGGAGAAAGTGAGATGTTACCAAGTTTGTTGCTGAAAGACATCTGAAAAGCAGAAAATGCCTCCAAAATTGTCCATCAGAAAAATAAGAGGCTGGCTCTAGTCACTGACTGAATAATGGAGTCCCTAATCCCTGACTGTTTAGTCCTAATTTTATAAAATCTCAGAGTATACTTTAAGAATAATGATGGTAATAGCAACTTCTCTATGTTTTAAAGCATAAAAATGGTACGGCAAAAGGCCTCCTTTGATAACAAAGAAAAAGCTGAATAACAGCATCTATGAAATCAATAGATGCCAAGACATCAGTCTGAGCCAGGGCAGAATGAAGGAGATTTATGCAGACAAGGCCATATTAATCAATCATTCTTGTACAGTGATCACAAGCTGGTATTTGGCTTATCTGCTCAGGCTTAAATGATAAAATCATGCAAGTAAATATAGTGATAAATGTAGGGGTTAGATCATATATGGCAAAGCAAGTATGACATTAGATTGGGAAATTTTGAGATAGATATTTGGGACTTGGAGTATGCATTTTGATTTGGAAATCATGGGTCACAGGTTATATTCAACCATTTTGAATTATTTCAACAGCTTAGACTTTAAATACACCAAACTTATTTTCATATAAACTATAGGTGTAAGGCATATAAAAGTAAAGCATCTTACATTGCTTCTGGGTTCATTATGCAGACAGCTCCTGAACACTGGCATTTGTCAATGTCATCATAAGCTATTCCCATACTAAGGCTCAGTAATTGAGCTATAATGACTGCAAGTGATTCCAGACTTAGGGTTTTGGGGTGCTGAAAAAAAGCACACAAGTGCACACTAATATTTTAAAAGATAATTCATTTACTGGGAGAATAATGTAATTATTAAAAATAGTGTCATGACAAAATGGAATAGAGGCTTCTAATACGTAACCACAGAAGTGCCATCCATGTTGACTCAATTTGTTACAGGTACCATTATCAATATAAAAAGAATATAGTAGCAAAATTTGAAATTTTACCAAAAATTAAATATATAGTTCATTTGGTGGCACCAAAAGAAGATAAAAATTGCCCCAATAATTATATATAATAATAATTATAATCATATTTATATTAACTAAAAAGATTTAAAGATATACACATATACACAGTGTCAAATTATTAACAGATTGTGCCCATTTCTAATTTGATTATTTAGAGATAATATTTTTACATCAATGTTTTTACATTATTTTTCATAAAAAATAATAAATTAACCCATTGAATTAATTTATATTATGGTAATAATGACTGATAATGAGAATGCTGACTTTCCTTCTGGGTTCATTATGCAGGTAGCTCCTGAGCACTGGCATTTGTCAGTCATCGTAAGCTATTCCCATACTAAGGCTATTTTCAAAACCCAAAATGCCTTTGTCATTTTCTTTTTGTAAATTAAGATGCTTACTTAGAACATTTTGACCGTACTAGACCATAAGAAGTTTAAGAAAAATCCACACATCACACTAAGTCTTCAAATATCCTATATAATAAAAGAGAAAAATGGTAATTGGTGTACGACAATACCCTTTTCATTGGCTAATCAGGGCTATATGCAAATTAACTGCCAACTCAGATGGCAGTTAACTGACAACAAAATGGTGGTTAATTTGCATATGTAGGCACAATGCAGGGAGGTGAAAGGGAAAGCAGGAAGAAGCCCCCTGCCACTGACAGTG